ATGTATCTGCAGTGTGTATCTGCTGCAGATACAATGTTGTGTATCTGTTGTGTATATTATATTTTGGATGTACGAGACATTTTGGATATTAGAGACAAATATATAACATTGAATGCTTTTCGTTGTGAGATATTGAGTAATTATTGTGCATGTATCTCTAATATTGCATATTAAGTAATTATTTTGTATTTATATATAACATTGAATATTTAGCACCGCTTGAGATATTTTTGTGTATGTATATGTTTTTTATTCATTGTGTAAAGTGTGTATATTAAATGTAAGCAGGTAAATAAATAAAATAGATAAAATAAAAAAAATTAAAATTAATAGGCCAAACGGTTAAAATCGTTTGGCCAAATACTTATCCCAAATGGGTAAACCCGTTTGGGACTGCAATATATGCCAAATGGTTTCAACTGTTTGGCATATATCGAGGTCGCAAACGGTTGTACCTGTTTGGAACAAGTTCCAAACGGGTGTACCCGTTTCGGACAAGTTTCAAATGGGTACAACCGTTTGGGCGACCGTTGGGGAAAAGTCTTCCCTAACGGTTTTAGCCCAAACAGGTATTTTTTCTCGCCCAAACAGTTGTAACCATTTGGGAGGGTGTTTTCCCAAACGGTTCTAACCGTTTGGGCAGACCAGTTTTGTACTAGTGATACTCTATTTTGTTAACATGTATTTGATTAAACGTAACATGAACATCAGTTTAGACAACATGAAAGTTTAGTCAACATGAAACTCAGTTTAATTAACATGAAACTTAGATTACTTATCATGCATATGATTAAACTTAACATGAAGCTCAGTTTAATTAACATGAAAATCAGTTTTGTTATTATGAAACTCAGTTCAGTTAACATGAAACAAGATTTAATTTATATGAAACTCAGGTTAATTCTCATGTTTTATTAAACTTAACATGAACCTCAGTTTAGTTAACATGAAAATTAGTTTAGTTATTATGAAACTCAGTTCAGTTAATATGAAGCTTAATTTAATTAATATGAAACTCAGATTAATCCTCATTTATTATTAAACTTAACATTAACCTCAGTTTAGTTAATATGAAAATCAATTTAGTTATTATGAAACTCAGTTCAATTAACTTGAAACTCAGTTTAATTAATATGAAACTCGGGTTAATTATCATGTATTGGATTAAACTAACATGAAACTCGGTTTGGATAATATGAAAATTAGTTATTAGCTATTTTAAGTACGTATTATGTATTTGCCTAAACTCAGGTTAATTTTTTAATTAAAAAAATAACAATTACTTCTTTCTAGGGTTGGTACCATCCCCTACTAAACTTTTTTATTGCCTCTTCTTCATAGTTCACCCTTTGCATGACCAAATGGGCTTTCGATGCTTCCTCATGCTTCCATTCCCAGATGATTGACGATATCCATCGTCGCTATAAGAAGCATGATCATCATCACTCAAGGAAGCCGTGTGATCACCTCTTCGCTCACGAAGTGTGACTGACGATGAAAATTTTGCTTCATTCTTTTTGTTTTAGACCGTCTTTCAAGGCGGCCTACACCTTTCTTTTGTCGTCCATTGCGATGAACGACCTCGAAATCATAATCAGATACTTCCTTAGACGACATTTTCACGGTGCAAAACCTAACCCTAAGTTGAAATTCGAGATCCTAGAAATGAAATTTGGGTATTTTAGGTTCCTGTTAATAGTACTTGAAAGGGGGATGGACGCGGTTACCAATTTCGATCATGTCATAAGGGTTGATTTGTAATTCTATCTGAGCTTTTTCTCTAACCGTTCACATGGCAATCATGAGACATTGACACAAATATAGCTAGGATTTGAAGCTGAAATACAAAGCATAAAATACATAATGCTTGATCACATGGGCTTATTAATACTGGGGCACAATTTTCTGTAGAATATTGGATGAAGTAAAGGTCTAACTCTCGGGGATAGGTAAGTGCGCGGAGGGTCCTACAAGAGAGATTTGAGAAATTAATTTGGTCAGTCGGTTTCAACTGTGTAATGGACCCCATAGGGATGGGGCCCACAAAGTAGCGAATGGCATCGCTGTTTGTTACGCGTTTTAGCGCGCGCCTCAACTCGCACAGGAGAGGGCGTGTGGGACCCACTGGCTCCTGTGCGAGTTGAGGCGCGCGTGTTTTTTCCTATTACTTATGTAGTATTGCCGACCCTCAACTGGAAGGGAAACGCACATGCACTGTGTTTAAACATGGGACCAGAAGTCCCATGTTTCTCAAAAATGAAATTTTACAAAATCAACCAATTTTTAATCAATTTTACTATTTAAATATTTTTATCATCAGTTTTACTAATTAAATGTTAACAAAATTTCTTTTTCAAATATTTCTCCAATAGTCAAATATTTGGTCCCCTACTTGAATCCGACCCATATCTGAATCATTAACTCATAGGTGCAATAATGTAAATGGTTTGATATGTCAATAGTAACTAATATGTTCTAGTACCACAAAACTAACTGGATAGACTAATCTTGGTGAGTCCGTATTTGTTTAAATAAGTGGAGTAGACTAATCTTGGTGTGTCCGTATTTGTTCATGTATGTATCACCGACATGTTGAGGATGGAGGGAAAAAAAATCCGCGTGGGAGGAAATATTTGTGTCCGTTAGATACGGATACAGTTACTAAATTTTATATCCGATAGTATATGATTATGGATATATGTGTATAGTCAAATATTCGGATCCATATCCTAAATATCTAAATTTACATATTGGTCATATAGTCGCAATGACTTTAATCTTTAGACTTGTGGATTTGAGTTTAATTTTGATGATCACATATAATGAACATATTAATGAACTTTCTTGTATTATATGAACTATAGTCTTTCTAATATTAATATCTAGTTCTTTCACATCCGTCTTGTATCTTTAAGTATATCTACTTATATATATGCATGCATATCCGTATCCGTACCCAATTTTAGATGACATGATTATATATTTTCCTACCAAGACATATCTGTATCAATATCCATATCCATGATTGGTAAACAAATACAAATATGATATATATATCATATTCAAGCCGTATTCGAACTGCTTGCACCCATGGCAACATCTATCATTATCAAATCATAAACAAATTCAGATTGTGGCTATGCACATCGATCAGTATTAAAAAGACACATAAGTTCTCATTTACTCAATAAAAAAAAATACTACGTACATTACTTATCTTAATTTGAACAATTCTACATAAATACGTTGAGTAAGACGTCTATTGGCATTATTTGCACAAACTAAATTAATCCTATTATAAGAGCAATTTAAAAGTATATTATTCAAGCAAGGCCCTCAATTTGGACACTTGGGTTGTGTTTGGTAAATTTCTCTTAATATCAATAAGTTCTTAATCAGGTTAGTATTAGTCTAAATAGAAGCAGATGCACCTATCAATTAGGGGAAGCAAGCGTACCCCTAAGCGCATGAGATTTATTTTTATAATACCTTCTGAAATTATAGCTTGCCTCCTTGCTGTAAAGTATTTGCACCTCAAGTGATAAGAAGGTGATCCACATGGTGTATGAGATGAAACAAAGAGAATGTAGAAGAGCATTGCAGCTGTCAGAATAAAACAAAAAGATAGATTTTTTATGGAGCGAGCAATGTTTTACTCCTAATATTTTCTTATATTGCTTCTTAACTGATTTGATTTACAGATTACAATACATCTTTTTAAGCAGATATCTCAAATCTAAATAGCACTCTAATTAGAGTTACTATGTGAATATAACTTGCTCTTTTAAATAAAAAGTCTCTTGCAGAATTTCTATTTAAACAACACCGAATATGAATAGAACTACAACTCCTAATCAATTAAGACTCATTCTAAATCTGCAATTACAAACTCCTAATCAAGATAGGACCGTATGTAATTCAAATCTTATAGACTTTTAATTGTAATGGGACTCATTATCCTAGTCACAAGAATACTCTTGCTCCTTAGTGCAATAAGACTTATACTCCTAACACAAATTGGAATCATACTCCTAACACAAATTGGAATCATACTCCTAGTTGTATTAGAACTCAATGCTCCTAATTATAATATGACACATACTCCTAACTATAATAGGACTCGTACTCTTAATACATATAGTAAGTCATACTCCTAGTTATAATATGACTCAATACTCCTATTTGTAATAGAACTCATACTCCTGATTATAATGACTCATAAAATAATACAAATAGGACTCATACTTCCCTTTGTAACTATGATAGCATATTTATTTGTAAATAGTAAAAGAAAGATAAAATAATAATAAAATAGTTAGATCAGGTTCCTCACATGTCCATATAATAGCTATCATAGTTTTATAATATTATATTTTAGTTTTTGGTAAATGAATAATTGTTGTTTGCACTTCTAAGAAAATTTTATGGATCCGTCATTAGGTCGAATGAATGCAAGTCCAATCTTACAGAGGGGAAGGAAAATAAGCTGAAAAAAGTAGACCAATACTGATCTAATTTTTGCAAGTCCAATCTTACAGAGGGGAAGGAAAATAAGCTGAAAAAAGTAGACCAATACTGATCTAATTTTTTTTCCAAACACAGTTTAAATTCTTAACCATGAATTTTAACCTGATTCAGAAGAAGCTGTTGAACACGACCTTGAATTCCCATATAATAAATTGTCTTTCAAAATATGCCAAGGCTGCGTTTGGGAACTTAGATTTGGGCTTGGATTTAAAATCCAGGGTATTTCAAATCCAAATATCTAGTTTGGATTCTTATTTGAGTCTAGATTTTAAATCAATTGATTTAACAAAGAGGAATTTGAAAGCCCAAGACATCTGATTTCAAATCACACCCCACCCTTTGTCATTTATCAAATCCCGACCCGATCATTTAACAAAGTGGAAAGTCGTGATCCTCTCTCTCTCTCTCTCTCTCTCTCTGGTTTCGATCTCCCCCTCTCCGCCTCCCCTCGCCGTCGCCTCCCCGCACCGTCGCCTCCTGCCGCCGCCTCTCCCCCTCCCCCTGCCTCTCTCTCTGGTTTCAAGTCCCAACCTGACATCATCTACTGGTATAGATCTTCATTTGCCTCCGAAACTTCCGAGGGTTTTGCTCTAATTTGTGCCTTCAATTTGTGAAATAATTCGATAGAGCTTCGATTTTGTTTGGTTTTATCTGTGAAGTAGATGTGGTTTTGTTTATTAATACTTAGATTTGGAGTATTGGGGGCTTCTAACTAGAAATTAGGGCTTGATTAATTGACCCTTGATCTTCTAACTAGAATATGCCTGTAAACTTCTGTCTCAAATTTGATCTGATACTATCATTGTTTGTTTCGTTCCATCTATTCATCTGAGGTGAATATGTAATTCTCTTTCTGCCTAATATGTAATTCTCTTGCTGCCCAATATGTTTGGAAACCAGATATGCGTGTAAACCCTTACTATTGTAGTAGTGGTAGAGAGCCCGAGCTAAAGCTTACTTTGGTTTGTTGAATTATTTGCATCAAGCTGGAAATGAAAAACTTGTTGCCTGTATACGGTGGATGCTTGCTTTGGCATGTACATTTATGGGTCTACAAACTTGTTTGAGTGCATATTCGCAGTTTTTGTTCGAGTGCATATTCACAGTTAAAATTATCAGCACTGATGGTTATCGTGCTTGTGTTCGGTTTGGGTTAGCAGCACCATGCTTCAATTGGATGCAAATCTACATGGTGAATGTTTACCAGGATGCCGGTTGATGCATTGTAGTTTTTTGAGTCTATAAACACAAACACAAATCATTCTAACTTGTTCAGACTACAGTCTCCTCTGCATTATAACTATCTTTTGTATTTATAGAGATATTGAACGTCCATGTTTGCCAATAGAACAATCTGCAAGAGCCATTGTACTGATGGGAACTCTTTGATCATTCTGGTTTGTGTGCTTTTTTCTTTTCAGTAAGAACTCCAAGCCGCAAATTGAGCACTTCTTCAAGCTCTTCTGATTGCCTTCTCATCCGTCAACAATTGCAGGTAATTTTACTGTTATTTTAATCTGATTGCCTTCTCATCCGTCAACAATTGCAGGTAATTTTACTGTTATTTTAATTTTGTTATGTCGTGACTTCTTATTTTGGGTCATAGAAAACTTACATGTTTTGATGAGTAGTCAAAATAAACACAAACTGTCTGAAGCAAAATTCGAAAGCAATAAAAATAGTGTGAGGTTTTGTGTTAATCGTCTATGTGCTCATGATTACTGAACACCAACATTCTATTCTCTGTATCATACAACCAAAGAGCATTTCAATTTTGACTTGAAAACATATAGAGTTTGTTTAATGCAAGAATACAGAAGTTATTTATATATATAGGCTATAGCGCTTGTGAAATTTTGACTTGTACCAACATTTAATACAACTTCGTGTACAGCTTCATTCACTCACTGAAGAGGCTGACATTTCAATATATGCAAGCGTCAGCATGTGCAACATTCAATCTGTAATTCCAACACGTAGCTTACATTTAAATAACTATTACAGGTGCCGTTTAAACGTACAGCTCCATGATATCACCAGCTCCATATTTGCTAATATCTTAGGGAGGAATGCTAAAAAACTATTCTCGATCACGGCTTTACAACTCATGCAAAAACACTAACCAGGTGATTATTGCGCGCCTCACATAACTAGAATACCTTCTTATATTTACAGCGTATCTATGATCTTTATATAAGGAAGGAGTTATTGATCCCGCTTGTTTTGGAGACCAATCCAATAGGAAAAAGAGTACTTCATTCAGCTAAAGAAGAATTTTCGCAGAACGCAAGACAAAAATACTGAGCAATACATGGTGATCAAATTTCCACAAGAACCTGAAGGCAATGAAGCTTTAAAAAAAACGCAACATAGTCTCCCTATCGCATAGATTTTGATGCTTTGGAATTTTTAACTTTTGTAAGACAATACTGACACTGCTGGGTTGTTAACATAGTCTCCCTAAAACGTTATGCTTCATGCTGGCATAAACTACATTATGTATACACACACAAAACTTTTTTTTACACTTATTTGTTCATCATTATGGAACACGCAGGTCTCTATAATTTTCAAAAAAAAATGCTACGGACACACCACCCGCCACAGTCTGACGGGCACCACCGGACACGACCCCCTCGTCGCTGCTAGCAGTGCATGGGGCCCCCGCTCAGATTTTTAAAAAAATCTGAAGTGGGGAAGACGCCACACGACATGAGCAGGGGGCGGTGTGTCTCGTGTGTGGCGGGTCTGTGTGCCCGAGTGCGCTTAAAAAGCCTTTTTTCCCCCAATGTGCATGCCCCTTCACTAGTCTACGTGTAAATTGCCAAGGTAATATGACAGCGTGTTGGTTAATTAGCTAAGCATGCTCTTTCTGCTGATTATGTTTTTATTTGGTGGGAGAAGATTCATCCTTTCTTGAATGTATTAGGGTTTAGTGATTTTGATGGATTCTTAGCTAATTCAAGTAAGGAGTGTTTGTCTCATCTCAAATGTAAAATTTTTTTATTTTATTGATAATTCTGTTCTTTTTATTCAGTGTATACTTGATTGTGATGCATTTCTAAAATGTATCTTTCATTTTATTGAGAATAGAACTGTTGAAAACTTGCTATTGCAAGTCAAACAGATTGGATTAGGTTGAAAAGTCCCTCAAATATGTTTTAGACTGATTACAGTTCCCTCAAATATGAGTGATGTTGTTACTACAAATAAGGTCATTCACAATCAAGATTCAAAATAAATACAAGACAATGAAAGTATTCTTTTCCAAGAGCCCAAAGTGTTACTATGGATATGAACAGCAAATCAAAAAACCAATTTTTGGAATTTATGCAATCATTAGTGTCATTTTGGAATTTGTGGCTGTCCTAAGTCACACCGTACTTCAAAAATTACTCCACTTCAACTATCTTGGCTTGCACACTAAATATCCAAAATATCAACATAATTATGGATGACTCTGATTGATACCAGAAAGCAAAAACACTTGGCTTTTGATACTTTCTTTGGCTTCAACTCCACCATTTAAATTCTCAATTTTTTATTAAGTTACCTTACAAACATCCCAGGTCCTGCTACTCTGAATCTTTAAATCCAGAAGCTTCTCCATTTTCTACTTAAAGTGAATCTATATTATTCCAATAGCTTTCATGCGAGTTACTCCTTTTCTTATGTAGCTTTGTCTCACCAGGTGCTATTGTTTCTTTTGTCCAAATCCTTTTACGATCATATCCAGTGTGCTTTTCTCATAAGCAGTCTCAGGCAGCTTTTCTAATGTCAACGTTATGGGTTTTTTTTCCGCAGGTCAAGCGTGATATTGTGCTGAGAGTGCTTGTGCTTTGGTCTCTCCTTTTTCGGTTCTCATTGTCATTTGATATAGCTTGCTGCTTTGTTCAATGATTGTAGCTAATATGTAAGGGTTAATTGCATATACTCTCTGTGGTATCGTTTTTAAATTGCAACCCCTGTAGTGTACACTTTTGCAGATGTGCCCTTGGGTTAAAATTGTGACTGTTTTACCCTTGGACTTACTAATTTCTAGCTGAAGTCAAACAAAAGGATATTGGTTGTGCTTTGGTCTCACCTTTTTTGTTTCTCATTGTCACTTGTTGTGGTGTTTGCTTCTATGGTGAATGATTGTGGCTTATAGTATACTCTAATATATTGGCATCTGATGGTTTGTGGTTTGGTACAGTAGCTCTTTTATTGGATGTCTTTGTGAAAGATACTAGTGGAGAGTATATCAAAGTAATGTCCAAGTACGTTAACGGAAAAATTTAAAGATACTTATTATATGAAGTGTTTTATCTGTTTGCTGGGGCCTCGCAAAGTATCAGAGATGAGTTTAGCTATCAAATTACCTAAATTTGTGTTTTTTGGTTACTATTTTACACATCTACATTGCATTTGATGTAAACAAGATGGGTTAAGAGAATAAATTTTTATCAATTTTAAATTCAAATTCATGTATAATAAAGTACCCAAACACTAGATTTTGAAATCAAAGATTTCAAATCCTTTCATTTAATAAAGATATCCAAACAAAAGATTTCTTAAATCATGAATTTCAAATCCTAAATTTAAAATCCCTTGATTTTAATAATAGAGACTATCTCCCATGGGGGTTGCACTATTCATACAGTCCCCTCTCTAAAGGAGAAGACTCGATTTCGGTACAACGCCAAAAAAGCCGATCCTCCAATCAACGCAAACTCCGCGTTTGTGAGCTTCAGCATGAGCTCTGCATAAGCCAAGCTAAATGCAACCCTCAGGTGTGCGTTTCCCAGATAGAACACAGCTTTCAGAAGCGCGTTATAACATCAAAACGCAGACCTTAAAACTGCGTTGATTTGGCAGAACGCAACTCTCAGGAGTGCGTTTCAGAACCCAAACGCAACTCTCAGGAGTGCGTTCTATCATTTAAATGCAGACATCAAATCTGCGTTGATCTGGCCAAACGCAACTCTCAAGAGTGCGTTCTATCATTTAAACGCAGACATCAAATCTGCGTTGATCTGGCTGAACGCAACTCTCAGGAGTGCGTTTCAGAACCCAAACGCAACTCTCAGGAGTGCGTTCTATCATTTAAACGCAGACATCAAATCTGTATTGATCTGGCCAAACGCAACTCTCAGGAGTGTGTTCTATCATTTAAACGCAGACATCAAATCTGCGTTGATCTGGCTGAACGCAACTCTCAAGAGTGCATCTCAGAACCAAAACGCAACTCTCAGGAGTGTGTTTCACAAAATGAATGCAACTCTCAGGAGTGCGTTTCACAAACTGAACGCAACTCTCAGAAGTGCGTTTCACAAATTGAACGCAACTCTCAGGAGTGCGTTTTACAAACTGAACGCAACTCTCAGGAGTGCGTTTCAGAATCCGAACGCAGATCGTAGGACTGTGTTTCACTAGCAAAACGCAAACTTTGGTCTTGCGTTAATCAAGCGAAACACGACCCTCGTGTTCCTTCCTTGGAACACGATGTGATTCGTCGTGTTCAAAATAATCAACATGGATTTAAAATTCATGTTTTCCAAAAATCAGTCCCATCCTTTAACGGACAGGGGGTTCCATCTTTACCCTCACGCTCCGTGAGAGGTTCATCCCAAGTCTCTGACTTGCGGGAATTACTGTCGATGTTCAACCGACCGACGAATGTCGTTTTGCTCAATAATCGACGACATCCTCACAGGAAGAAGACTTTAGAGGATGAATACCTTGGAGTCACTTCTAACATGGTTGGTAGAGGGAGATCATCAACCTTTAGTTCTGACGAGTCAGAGACAGATCATTCTCCAAGCGTCAGAGAAATCACTAACGAGTTTGAAGGAGTCTACCAACACACTCGGATGCGAACAGGAGCCATTCCCCCTGTCAACTATCGGAGTTTAGCCAGAGGAACTAATTCCGATGACGAACACTCAGCCATTGCGGAGTCCCAATCATCAAGCTCTTTCGTTAGGCATGAGAGCTTCGTCCACATGGCAGAACATTCTGAAGATCTTTCAAAGAGGATTGATGAGCAGGAGGCCATGTTCAAATCACAGCAGGAGGCCATCAATGAACTCATGGCCATGCTGACTCAAATCGTCGCAGACAAGGCCAAATCTCAGGAGACAGATTCGCCGCTTAGGCAAGAATCTTCCCGGAGAGAAAAAGCATCTTCATCCCGACCTCACACAAGCAAAGGGAAGGGAAAAGTGGTTGATGATGCAGCTTCTGACCAAGAAGCCCACAACCTGGAATCTTCCACTGATGAAGAAAGAGAGACTGAGAATGAGCAGAATCTTCAGTCTGCCAAAATGGAAGAATTGGAAGCCCGTCTCAACGCCATTGCTAATAGAAGCGAGCTCCAAGATGAGGGAGTTATTAGACCCTATCTTACCGAATGGGATGCAGCCCCTTATCCTCCAAAGTTCGAGGTCCCGACGCTACAAACTTTTGACGGCACGGGATCACCGAACCAACATATTTATCATTTCAAGTCACAGACTGGAAATGTAATATCAAACGATGCCATACTGGCTCGATTATTTATTGGCACCCTCAAGGGAATTGCCTTTGAATGGTTTAGGAAATTACCTGCGGGCTGTATCCAAAAGTGGGCGGATCTAGAGAGACTCTTCCTGTCAAGATTCTTTGAAGAGGATACAGAAGTCCCCATTCATACCCTTCTTGCCAGTAAGCAGAAAAAGAGGGAATCAGTCAAAGCCTTCGTAAAAAGGTTTCGAAATATGGCACTGCGTTGTCCGACAGGTATGACACAGTCTACCCTAGTACAAACCTGCCGACATAACTTGCAAACCGACCTCCTAGCTCGAATAGGAGTTGCAGAATGCCGTTCTTGGAGACAACTAATCTCTCAAGGCGAGCAGGCTCAAAAAATCATTGTCAGGATCAAAGCTGAAGAACGAAGTAGGCAGGATCAGCCCGAGCAATCAGACCAAGCCCAATCTTCTCCTGAGCAACTAGACCAGGCGCACTCTTCTCAATCAGAAGGGAAAGATACTACGGCCACTGAAGTCAATCCTCTTCAGTAGGATGACGGGTCTAACAACTATCACGTTAACTGTTACCTCTGATAGTCAAACTCATCAGATAATGGCCTACCTGGTGATGTGACTCTATTCCAACTTCATGGATAGTGCTCCACTAGGTGATGTGCCTTGTCTACCTCTTTTTTATTCCCCTGCTAAGTCTTAATCAAGACTGGTGGTTGATTACTTAGAATCCACTGGATTAAGAGTAACGAATCTTTCATATCATCAAGTTAACATTACACTTCTGACGATCATCATCCCCACAGAGTATGCATTCAATTTGCATCACTCCCAATTTGTCACGTTAACAATACACCTCTGACAACCCACTTATCAATCCTCATCAATAGGATGATAAGTCCCCAAAGTTGCTCCAATTGCAACACATTCTTGTCACGTTAACAATACATCTCTGACAAACCCACTTATCAATCCTCGTCAATAGGATGATAAGTCCCCAAAGTTGCTCCAATCGCAACACATTCTTGTCATGTTAACAATACACCTTTGACAAAACCCACTTATCAATCCTCATCAATAGGATGATAAGTTCCCAAAGTTGCTCAAATCGCAACGCAAATTCTTGTCACGTTAATATCACACATCTGACAAAATCCACTTATCGACTCCCTTCAATGGAGCGATAGGTCCACAAACCCGTCAAGTTAACACCACACCTCTGACGACCAAATCAACTTATCGACTCTCTTCAACAGAGCGATAGGTCCATAAAATACTGTTAGGTTAACATAACACCTCTAACAGTCAACCCCCCCAATGAACTTGTTAATTCTTTTTCAACAAGAATAGCAAGTTTTCATTATAAAATCCCCAGTGGATTAAACATTTTCTAGAATTATCCTAGTGATAATAAAGAAAATTTTTGAATTTCACTATACCTCTGGCACTTCCAACTTTTTTTCGGTGTTTCAAGCCACACAAGAAGAAACGACACCAAAAATCGATGCCTTCACGCATGGGGGACTTTATCTCGATCCCTAATTAGAGATAAGTCTACGCCTAACACGCGTTGCCGGTTAATCTTTCGCCGTAAAAAAGACACCAGGATTCATGCCTGGGGGAATTTATCTCGATCCCTAATTTGAGATAAGTCTGCATCTAACACATGTTGTCGGGTAGCCTATTCCCGCAATAATAGCAAAGCTTACGTATTCAATATCGTAGCAGGTCGTTATTAATAACGCCAAAATCCATGCTTTACACGCATGGGGAATTTTATCCTGAATCCTAAATAGGGATAAGTCAATGTCTAACACACGTTGCCGGTTAGTCTTTTACCGTGAAAAGGACATCAAAATCCATGCCTCACACGCATGGGGGACTTTATCTCGATCCCTAATTAGAGATAAGCCTACGCCTAATACGAGTTGCAGGTTAGTCTTTTCCCATCAAAATGATAAAGTCTATGTATTCAAAATCATAGCATCAAGACTAAGAGAGTTCATTCTCTTAGCACAATGTTACATGTGGAACGGACTTAGATAATCCACATGCTAGCCCGACTCAAACAGTAGTCGGTAAAGGCTTATCAAATCCGTTGATAGCTGAGGGTTTGTCAAAAATCCTACGCACATTTGCCGGCCCATCAGCTTAATGGATGTGAGTCGAGACTTAAAACAGATGAGTCAAAGACAAGTCTCAAAGACTTAGTCAAAAATGCACAGAAGCCACTTCCATGTCTTAAGTCAAAACGTTGAGATCAGACCCGCGATGCAAAAAATCGAACACCGAGGTCACACCCGCATTCCAAATTCAACATGCAAGGGTGAAACCCGCATCTCAAGTTCAAAATGCAGGGTCCACCCCCACATTCCAGAAGCAGGATTATGGCGCATACCTTCACACAGGTCTTGCATGGAAAATCCCTTCAACCAAGCTGCCTTCGAAGCGAGTGCAGAGAATAACTCCTTTGTGACAAAAAATCAACAACTCCAAGATCAGAGTTGAGATCCAAAGTATTCCAAAAATTCGTCCCAGTCAACTGCGAACTTTCGAAAACTTTGGAGGGGGTTCTGTAGG